TGTTGGTGATGACAAAGTTGTGTTCCACACATTTGGTGAGAAGCAGGATGCCATTCGAGTTGCTGTTTCCTATGGTCCCTGGCCACAGGTCAAGGTCTCGCCCGACTCTTGCATTGAAGTCCCCCAGGAGGATGATTTTGTCCTCCTTAGGTATCCCCGATAGGACGGTGTCCAGCTGACAGTAAACATTTTCCTTGATATCTTCGTCAGCATCTAGTGTTGGTGCATAGGCACTTATGATGGCTGCCCGTTGGTTTTTGGCAAGATCGATTCGGAGGGTTGAGAGTCGTTCGTTGATGCCAGTGGGTGCTTCGGTCAGATGCTTCACCAGATCATTTCTGATAGCAAAGCCAACTCTGTGCATTATTTGGTCTTCTTCAGGCAGTCCCTTCCAGAAGAAGGTGTAGCCTTCTTTTTCTTCCTTCCGCTGTCCCTCTCCTGATCTCCGGGTCTCCTGAAGGGCTGCTATGTCGATGTTGAAGCATCCCAACTGCCTTGCAATGATGGCAGTTCTGCGTTCGGGGCGTTCACTGTCACTGTTGTCCATCAGTGGCCATACGTTCCATGTACCGAAGTTCATTTTTCTTTTTTGGCTGCAGGGTGGTGACTCCATTGGACGCAGTAGTCCAGTCAGGGATAAGAGAGGCAGACTATGTTTAGGGCACCTTCTCTAGCCCCCTCCTTCCCCGTGTGGGGTGAGCAGAGTGGGTCCTCAAAAGGGCTGCTCAGTTGTGGATACAGCTGTGGATATAGTCGTGGATACTCAACTGCCTCGGACCTTGAGGTAGAACGACTGAGTCCGTACCCACCGCCCATGTGCCAGTCTGTGACTAGGGGCTTCCAGATTTCACAGTCCTGCCCCCGTCGCCACTCGCTGATCGCCATGGGACTTTGGTTGGTTTGTTTTTATTTTCTTTGGAAGACGCCTGTGCGTGAGTTTTTTTGTTAAAGTGTGGAGGTCAGTGCACAACTGATCAACACACAGTCTTCACAGAGTGAGGTTCCACTGGTGGTGTAGTTTAACACAATGACCATGGCTTCTCAGTCTGTTGCAGCCTTCCTCCGCCTTCACACCGTTGTAACATGTACCATGTTATCCTCCGCCTGCTCCGCCGTTGAGGTCTTTGGGTCTTTGGACTGTGCTTGGTCTGGAACTTCCCTCGCGGCCACTCCTGGGAGTGCACGACTCCAGTTGTTGTGCCCGCAGATTCATTGGAACACACAAACCCCCTCACCACGACAAGTACAGAGATATAGAATGCAAAGATACAGAATGGGGGACAATGCCTGGCTAGAGAGCAGTACGTGGAAAAAGATCTTGGACTCCTCGTGGACAACAAGTTAAACATGAGCCAGGAATGTGATGTG